TTTTCATGTCAATATATTTCCACCTGAATTTTTCGATTTGCATTTCAAAGCCTTCCTTCCAAGTCTCCTTCACAAAGGATAAAAAATTCCCCCCCCCCGTCTCAGCGGGTCGTTATTTTACGGTACTGTAACTGCACTTAAATATATCCTACACTTAAATTGATTCCTTTGCCACGGCTAACATCAGTGCCTCGTGAGAGTGGTACCGGTCATGTGACTTCCACTCCTTCAGCAGGCCACACTCTGACCGGGTTTGGTGAATTATGGTCAAACAACACCCCCCCCCCCCAACACCACGACCGCCGACGTGATGCGCGGAGACCTTCACCTGCCAGTGGGTTGACGAGAAGCTGGACTTATTATCGCTACGAAGCGGGGAATGTGTGAGAGAGGACGATAGCCGTGTCCTTTACGAAATCAAATTATACGAAAATGAGAATACATTTATCTTATGGCAATATTTACACAAGCGAGTATAGAGCGTTAAAATATAGGCAGCAATTTCGAGAGAAAATAAAAAAAAAATCTCTCCAGTCTCAAAAATTTACTCGGTTACATTCTGCCGCAAAAAAAAAACCCAAAATAAACTGTAAAACTCTGTTCTTCAATACAAGTATACGTAATTCTTTTTACTGCCAAGCCCTAGTAGAGCCAAAAAAAAATAATATAATCTCTACGCGAGCTTCTGTGTCCGTTTGATCAAGGGAGCCGCATGCACGCGCGTGTTTAATTGAGAATCAGTGGTAAGGGTCATGGCTCCACGTGCGCCCTACACCATGCAGCGAACACAAGGCTCATGTTCCACCAAACACTAATTTGTCATCACTAGGCATTCAGCGCTCCCGAAACATGTTGGTCTCCCTTGGCAAATAAAAAAACGGCCTACCATATAAGAACAGGCAGGGGCGGAGCCACGGGGGGGGGGGGGGGCTGGAGGGGGGCATAGCCCCCCCTGAAATTTTGGGAAAGTCGGTAATCGGGATAACCGGATATCCGGCTGCTGCAAAATGCTGCAGACTGCCACCTTGTGCTGCCCTGCAGGCTGCTTGAGCGGCAGCCTTTCGAACTTATCGAACTTATTAGCCACATCAGCGGCTCCGACCTATTAATAAACTCCGCGTTCCAATCCAATAAAATTTGTTTTATACATTTGTGGCGCCCCTGAGAACAGGTCACATAGCTGTTACTAACCGACATGAGTTTAACATATATACATACAGATACAATTGTTCATGCGTGCTGGGAAATTGAGTGCAGATCCATGTTACATCATTCAACACTCTAAGACATACATACCACCCGTTGTTCAATTATATATCACGTTGAATTCCGTGAATTAAGTTCTGGCCGGAATATCGAATGCGAATAACACATTAGGCTGCTCCTCAATAAGCTCTTATGATGCCAGCGTGCATCGATACAGTGAGGTAAAAAAGTATTTGATCCCCTGCTGATTTTGTACGTTTGCCCACTGACAAAGAAATGGTCAGTCTATAATTGTTATGGTAGGTTTATTTGAACAGTGAGAGACAGAATAACAACAACAATATCCAGAAAAACGCATGTCAAAAATGTTATAAATTGATTTGCATTTTAATGAGGGAAATAAGTATTTGACCCCCTCTCAATCAGAAAGATTTCTGGCTCCCAGGTGTCTTTTATACAGGTAACGAGCTGAGATTAGGAGCACACTCTTAAAGGGAGTGCTCCTAATCTTAGCTTGTTACCTGTATAAAAGACACCTGTCCACAGAAGCAATCAATCAATCAGATTCCAAACTATCCACCATGGCCAAGACCAAAGAGCTCTCCAAGGATGTCAGGGACAAAATTGTAGACCTACACAAGGCTGGAATGGGCTACAAGACTATTGCCAAGCAGCTTGGTGAGAAGGTGACAACAGTTGGTTGCGATTATTCGCAAATGGAAGAAACACAAAAGAACTGTCAATCTCCCTCGGCCTGGGGCTCCATGCAAGATCTCACCTCGTGGAGTTGCAATGATTATGAGAACGGTGAGGAATCAGCCCAGAACTACACGGGAGGATCTTGTCAATGATCTCAAGGCAGCTGGGACCATAGTCACCAAGAAAACAATTGGTAACACTACGCCGTGAAGGACTGAAATCCTGCAGCGCCCGCAAGGTCCCCCTGCTCAAGAAAGCACATATACATGCCCGTCTGAAGTTTGCCAATGAACATCTGAATGATTCAGAGGACAACTGGGTGAAATGTTGTAGTCAGATGAGACCAAAATGGAGCTCTTTGGCATCAACTCAACTCGCCGTGTTTGGAGGAGGAGGAATGCTGCCTATGACCCCAAGAACACCATCCCCACCGTCAAACATGGAGGTGGAAACATTATGCTTTGGGGGTGTTTTTCTGCTTAGGGGACAGGACAACTTCACCGCATCAAAGGGACGATGCACGGGGCCATGTACCGTAAAATCTTGGGTGAGAACCTCCTTCCCTCAGCCAGGGCATTGAAAATGGGTCGTGGATGGGTATTCCAGCATGACAATGACCAAAAACACACGGCCAAGGCAACAAAGGAGTGGCTCAAGAAGAAGCACATTAAGGTCCTGGAGTGGCCTAGCCAGACCTTAATCCCATAGAAAATCTGTGGAGGGAGCTGAAGGTTCGAGTTGCCAAACGTCAGCCTCGAAACCTTAATGACTTGGAGAAGATCTGTAAAGAGGAGTGGGACAAAATCCCTCCTGAGATGTGTGCACACCTGGTGGCCAACTAAAAGAAACGTCTGACCTCTGTGATTGCCAACAAGGGTTTTGCCACCAAGTACTAAGTCATGTTTTGCAGAGGGGTCAAATACTTATTTCCCTCATTAAAATGCAAATCAATTGATAACATTTTTGACATGCGTTTTTCTGGATTTTGTTGTTATACTGTCTCTCACTGTTCAAATAAACCTACCATTAAAATTATAGACTGATCATTTCTTTGTCAGTGGGCAAACGTACAAAACCAGCAGGCGATCAAATACTTTTTTTCCCTCACTGTAAGTGAAATAAACAAGCTCTCGACAATCGGGGCGTCTGCCTCTCTTACACAGGTGCAGAGCTGCTATGCGATGATAGGCAAATAAACATTGATGCACAGATTAATGATGCGGCCACGTTCCCCGTGTGTGCGCTCTACCGACGGCCTAATCACACCGTAGTGAGCTAAGGGGGGCGGAGGGGGAGGGGCGCAAGGCTGCGGCATGAATACGGTGCAGGACGATATCTCGAAAACGCACACTCGCACACAACATGATACAAAATGCCTCACGAACACCGCGTTGATTTCGAGGCATGGGCAGTTGATCTCTAGTGATGCAGCTTTAGTTGCTAGGGAAGGGGGCGGTGGGGGGTTGTGGGGGTTCATGAGTGGGTGGGGGGCGGGCATGAGGACCAGTGATCGTGATGGGAGGGGGGGGGGGCTGCCATACTTATAAGATTGAGAACCACTGCCCGCGTATGGTTCAGGATCACAGATGCTGAGCCAAGGCCCAGCGGCCTGTCACGCACGGCGGCCACCCGCTAATAGCACCGTAACCATCTCTCCCTGAATGCACCCAATCTCTTAAGATCTCGGTGGCGAAGCAGAGTAAAACCGTGGTTAGTACTTCGATGGGAAACTGCCCAGGTGTTGTCGGCTTGGGTTGTGATGTGACCGTAAGATAATGGATTTTCTGAATCTTTCTGTGAAGAGAGAATGTGTTTGCCGCCTTGTATATGCACGGGTGTTCTCTGGTTTTGCTCATACGAGACCAAACACCCCTATTAATTCTAGATTTGAAGCTTTCGTGACTGCAAGGATTCATACTCTTTTCGATTTAAAGCTTTCGTGACTGCAATGATTCATATTCTTTGGTTCTTTCGGTAAAGTCACGTAGAATGATAATAAAATAATACATTGATAAAATAAAATAACACAATAATATTCTCACGACGTTTCGGCCACAACACAAGCGGCCTTCATCAGGTGAAGGGGGGCGAGACTGTCTGGTAGGACGGGTAGGACAGGTAAAGTCACGTCGCAACACAAGCTCCCGAAACGTCGTGATTTAATTTAGTTTTCATTTATTTATTTTTTTACCTACGTGACTTTACCTTGATTAATGCCAATACATGATTGGAGGGATACCTACTTTGTTATGATATCATGCCCCGAGGTGCCATTCTGTTGCTTGTGCAGTGTATTTCTGTTTCCTCTTCCTTTTGGCAACTTTAAAAAATTTTTTTATGTATGTTCAGTTTCGACTTAACATCGGAGTCACTATGCCAACGGGCCGAGGTTTGGCTAGAGACTACAAACCAGGGCTTAATTTTTCACCGAATATTTTCCGAGCCACTGGTAGACTGGAATAGGCGCGAAACCCATAAGCTTACAGCCTTAGCGAGAGGTTGACTGAATGAGCTTTGTTGGGTGTGGAAATATTTTTTTCCCAGTCGCTGACCCGGACAGACCCAGCTGACCTTAAGCCCTGCTAAAAACAATAAATCGGGAGCCAAACAACACGGCACGTGAGCTAAAGGTGCATTGCTGTCAAATACATTTACTGGGTGGGAGCAAAGTCAATGTGGACAATACGGCCATGAGGACACCCGCCTCAATCAGCCCAATGACTTTCAAGCCCTTCGCCTACTAATTGCCAGAATATCGGCGTTAAATTTAATCTACAGAGAGCTCGCACCGGTGACAGTTCGACAAGCGGCATAAATCAACGCTGGCTTAAAAAAGAAAAATGTTTATGCCAATCTCCGGGCCGCTGCTGCGAGGCCAAGAGCTGCGATCCCCAGGCCCGAGCGGAGATTATCACGATCGATCGTGTCGCTGGCAGCGAAGAAGAAGAAAGAATAAATGCGACCCGTGGAATAGATAAAGGTTTGCCAAAAGGACATTGAACGCAGCGAGCGCTGATATTCATAAGGAATGCTGCGGCGCGCAAAGGAAGAGCGACGCAGAGTGAGAAAAATAGGCAAAAGGATTTTAGACAAAATCCGGTGTAAGGCCCCACACTTTAATACAGTATTTAGTTATGTACAGATCCATCACCATAACTTAACGAGCAGGTGCAAACGTAGCTTGTGTCCCCCCCCCCCGTACATATAGACAAATAATTAAAACCGAGTAAAAAATATATAACGCAAAGCATCAAGAACAAGCATACCAATCACCAAAAATTATATATACTCCCAGCAAGTTGTGTCATAACACTGTAGGAATTTTAACTCTTAAACAATAGTCCAAAAAAGGAAAACTATCAATTAAAAGCGTGTAATCCTACAAACCGAAGGTATAGATCTGCTTTGCTTTATGTACACTATTTAAATATTCTGTACATATCACGACCGCAGCCAATGGTGAAATAATGAAGTATCATCTTCTGTTTAGAGAGCGACAGAGCGCGTACTAAATATGAAGAGCAGAATTCGTTTCACTCCTCGTGTTATGGATCTCAATCGACTGGCTTACATAACGCGACACTGCAATGCACGCCCGATGGCACGAACAGTGGCGAGAGAGAAAAAAGGCATCGTTCTGGCTCCACTTTCGTCGTCTCTGTTGCTGCTGTTGACTGCACATTTAAAGACTTACCCGGTGTGCCAGAGAAAACACCATCAGCCAGAGGGGGAAATATATATATATATGCGTATGCGTGCAAGCTGAAATTTGTGATAATATATGCACATGTGTGTATTTAGGCAGGAACCCCACGCTTGCGTTTCATGTCAAGGCATCATCGTCATCATTGTCATCGAGATGTCACCTTGACATGCAAAGCATGCTGGGACTCCCTATCGTGATTTTTTTTTTGCTATCTCAACACCGGTTTTTTTTGTTGTTATTGTCGCACGCATTGCCATCAAACCTCGACGGGCTGACTCGGGCGACGACGCAACTCTGCGGATTATTGGAGATTCTTTTTTTTTTTAAACGTACGATGCCAAAAAAAATGTATCTATCCGGGGGAATTCTTCGCCAACATTCTAATCACGTGCAGCAGTGCCACAGCTCGTGCAGTGAGGAAGGCAGAAACAACACGACTGGGGGAGGAGGCATCACGTCGCACTCTCCATTTCAGACGCGCAAATATGGAAGCTGTGCCGAATCTGGCCACGTGATGAATATTCATTTATCTCAAAGTTTTAGTTTAGTGTTTTTGCCAAGGGCACGCGGTTGTCACGTCAGCAGCAAAAGTCGTTGCTCTTCGGTGGAGTTTTCCGAATTGTATGAAATTGCGTTGCGGGTTTGTCGGTAGAGGCCATCTTCTTCAACCTGTCACGAAGGGATATCCAACATCAATATTTATTGTGAAAACAGACTCTCTGATCAATGTTGGCACAATTAAAACAAATACGTTTTAGTCGCATTAGCCTTGTAGCCACATTAACATCGGGTTGATGTTTATGTTATTGTTGTGATGCACGGGGGATCTCCCTTGCAAACTAACGGGATAAATTGCTAAACGGGACTTACTGCGTGACAAAATAAACATCGATTGATTGCCTGCTGGCCTTTTCGATACAATATTATCCAGCAGCATTTGTTTAAAATACGCCAAATTTTAACTGGCTTTGACCTTGTGGTTACTCATCAGCAGAGTTCGACTTTTAAAATGTATTATGCTGAACAACATTAGCTCAGAAATCCAATGGTCTGATGGACTAAAAGGTATTTGTTTTGTGTTGAGAGGCAAGCAGATGTTTGTTTATTGAATGCATTACGTCATAATTCTCCACAAAAGCACGTCAGTACATTTGTATGGGTTGTCATTATTCATTTTACAAATTTGTATTCTAAAACTAAAACCAGATCGTCGGGCAATCAATCATAATTGCAACATACTTACTCTGAGCATATTTCTTCCGTACAGGGACATTAAGAGGAAAGCTTTGGGCTCAAGGTAGAAAGGAAACATGCACAACTACAAATGTCGCTGCATGGTACAAAAGTCTCTGGATGCAATAACTGTCAGATGCTTGTCAATGTCTCAAGTTAAGGTAGATTTTTTTTCGCCAACCCATTTCCTTTTCAATTGCTGCTGCAGAAATGTCACATCGCGCTTGGCATTGCTAATGCCCATGCCGCCAAACACCGGTGCCAGTTCTTACATTCTGAAAGCAAAAATCAAATCCCATAAACAAGAGTTTAATGTCCATGAAGGTAAAGAAAACATCAAAGGTAAAGCAGCAGTCATCTACACAGAACTAGAGTTTTGGGAAAAAAATGTGAAATAAAGCTTCCACATGGCCACGTGAAATGTACTTTAAAAATATTTAGCCCATATTTATATACAGCTATAAGCACGTTTAAGATCGCATCTGCGTTCCAGAATCGCAAGATCATGCCCAACGATTCTGAAACTCAGAATTTAAAAACGTGATGTTAAAGCAGCGCAATCCGAGTCAATTTCGTATTTTTATTTTTTCAGTGGATAAATGCCTGCAGTGGCACTTGGTGAACACGTTGATCAGAAACACTGAGGAAACCTCCCTCACCAAAGACCCCTCCATCATCCGAGGACCCGTCCCTCTGCAAGGAGCCCCTCACTCACTGAAGCCCCCCCCCCCCCCCACCGAAGAATTCAGAATCAGAATATTTATTCAAACTGGAGGAATCCGATGGGTTATAAACCAGTTTGTTCACAGATGTCCAGTACATCACTCCCTCACCAAAGGCCACTCCCTTGAAGAGGACCCCCTTCCTGACCAGGTTAATCCACTTCAGGCTTCAACGGATAGAATTAAAACATTAACGTTCAGCAAAAACAATGCTATATAAAGATAATTTAACAACTGAAAAGTCAACCCTTAATGGAAAGTCTGGTTTTTCGTTTTAAATTATCAATATGTAATTTAACGTCAATAATTGCAGATTCAGAATTTCTCCATAGCTTTACAATCTACGTAGTTGAATTTTAAGTATACACATTGTTCTTGTATAGTAAATGTAATGTATATACAAATATCACCCGCATAGCCATACAGAGTGTAGGGGCAAGTGCTGTTCGCAAGTGCCTATCAAGGTACTTATATTCGGCATGGTGCATATGTGGGTGGTGTGGTCAGCAGTATGGCCCGCTGCTCTTGTCTCCCCAGTGTTGATGTTCACGCGTGGTACAAGATGCGCACTTAAGGCCCGAGCCCATGGATTGGTTGAGACACCACTCGCCACCGATGTAAGCCATGGCTAAGAGTCGATGAACGCGGCTCGTTTGTAGCACGAATCACGTTGCCGCAGCTTCCCACAGTCTTTAAAGTAGTACATGTTCACCCTCCCCCTCTATGCGGGTTCGGTTTGTGCGATTTCGCGCTGGATATGCGGCGAACCCATTTATACCCAAAATTCGCTATGCGGTGCGGATGTGGGACAACGTTGTGCGTGTACTGTGTGTGTGTGTAATGTGTGTGTGTGTACTGTGCGCGCTACTCGGCAGAGCCGTCTCCTTGTGGGGTCTCGCTTTGTGCGGTCCTTTTGTTGGAACGCATCTACGACTACCGCATAAAGCGAGGGAAACCGGTATACGGGGGAGATGTAATATTGGTCGGACCTGTCACAATAATTTACACAAATACACGCCGCACCCACCCACACACACACGTATTTACACGCATATTCTTCTGATTGTGATTCAATCTCATTAACACCTTCACTAATTCCATGACGTGTTTCGGGGGATGCCTACTGTGTTATGGGATGTCGTCCCTAGGTGCCACTCAATTGACAAATTATCACATTGCATAGGTAGTGTTTTTCGTGTTTTTTTATATATATTTTTTATATTTTAAATGAGAATTGTTTTCCCAAAAATCTTTGTTTAAAAATGTTCAAAGACACGTACACGGATACATGTAAGCATCATATCAGCACAAAAGACAAATCCCAAATTCCAGCTCGCAACATTTTGCTTTGAGTAGCGACGTGTGTGCAATTTAGAAAATAAATAAAAATATGTGCATCGTTCACAAAATGTGTCCTTTTCAAACGTGTTTTAAACCCCTCCCCCCCCCACACACACACTCGATAAAATCTATATAAAGGCATGGCAAGAAAAGCACTGGGATATTCACGACCGTGACCAAACAACGATGACAACAAGCATGAAAGACGTTTCACCTTTCCAGCAGTGAGAACAAAATGTGGTGGGGGGGGGGGGGGTGGAGAAACCGGGCTATATTTTTTGTGAATTAATATCGTAATATATTATATCTTTGTAATTTGTCCTTTTTGATATTTCCTTATATTTTTACATGTAAAAAAAAAAATCACCCGCACGGAACAATGTCTCTCTTTTGCTGTTGCTGCTGTTGTAACACTTTCTTCATTTTTCTTCTTCTTCTGTCTTCACCGCTCTACGACGCTGCCCCGTTCAACTTTCTCTGCCCGTCTGGTGGTGGTGATGGGGGGGCACCTCGACCCTGGCCCCGGCCCTCGTGCCGTTGACGCTGCCCGGCGGTCCGCCCCGAGGCCCGCGCACCGCCTCCTCATCCCCCCGCTCCTCCTCCTCCTCCTCCTCCGTCGCAGTCGCCGCCGCCGCCGCCACGCCGTTGTGGCTCCGCTTTGGCACGGGGCTGCTCGACGCCTGCTCGCCGGCGTCCTCGGCGCCGCTGTCGAAGATGCCCTCGAGGTCCTCGTCGAGGAAGTCCAGCGAGTTGTCGCTGGGCAGCCCGCGGATCGTGAACTTGTGCGACACGCGCATCCAGTGCTCCTTGTTGGCGGCCACGCGCTCGTACAGCTCGGCGGCGCCCGGCAGCATGTCCTTGAGCAGCCTGCAAAACCGCGACACACACCACACACGCCACACCCTCGCGGTCGGCTCCTCTTTCAACGTCTGCGGAAACGTCGACGCTCGGGGAGACAAAGGCGGCCGGGCGTCGTGCTGGCCCACCGCACCCCCCTCTCGTGTGCCGTTCCAACATCCACAGGGTGCTCGCTAACAGCACTTGCCCCAACAGTCTGTTGAGGCTGTACGGGGGGGGGGGGGGGTGGGATCTTTGTACTGTGTGTTGAACTTCTTTCGCGCCGTACGTAGCCAACCGTACCAAATCTTAAGTGCAGGGGAAGGACAACAAACTAAACACACACAAAAAAATCAGTTCTAAATGGCGGCGAGTTCGCGTTGCAAGTGTGTGCCGGACGTGCCCCAGGGAAATCGACCTTTGGGCTGCTTCTGCGATCAAACACCCCGGGGTCCTGGTGCGGCTACGATTTCAGAGTTCAGGCTGCCAAGTGAAGTGACACATGGAGGGACCCCCCCCCCCCCCCCCGGGGGCGTGGTAATAGTTACCACTGCTGGGGTTGGGGGCATGATGGATGGTGCGCTTGGTGAAATATACAAAAAAATTGAGCAAGCGAGCCGCGGTGCATTGAGAGGTTTGTGTGAGCGTCGTACGCACGCATGGCACTTGCAACTTGAGAACAATAGAATGGGATCGATAAAATTGCCGAAAAGTGGTTTCATTAATCAAGCGGGGCTATTGTCATGGCGTTTCCCATGGCACGTTAATTGTGTGACGCCGAGACCCAGAGGGAGCGTGAAAGCTTAAAAAAAATGGCATCTGTCAAGAACGCGGTAAACAACACACATCACGTTTCGCCAATTTGCCCTGGGCACATCAGCTTTCCCACGCAAGGAACCCGCGTTATCAAATACAGTTATTTTCCACGGATAACTTAAAAAAAAAATTGGTCATTTGGTATTTAACTAATTTTCTCCGACTCACACTACTTACCATGTGGAATCATTTTTTCGTTTACATCGTTGGGAAATAACGACGAAATTGAAATCTCCACACGGTAACCCCACAATTTGTCCCATCACCCTTGCTCTCCTGTCCTCCACGCGCTCTCCCATAACCATTGCTCTACAGTACTCCACACACTCTTCCATCACCCTTGCTCTCCAATACTCTACACGCTCTCCCATCACCCTTGCTGTCCAGTCCCTTTCATCTGCCCTTACAAGCTGTAGTTCTGAACCACTCCCAGAAGATGGTGTGGATTCTCCACCGTACCAACAGCACTGTACGATTTTCGTTGGTCTCTCATTCAAACTTGAGCATCAAAACATTTCAAACGTGCTTTGTATCAGTCCACTTATCTTTTACCTGCATCCAGCCGGTGAAATGTTGCATTCCTTGGGGAGGCTTTCATGCAGATCATGGCCGATGATGAAGACTATGATACGTCTATGAAATTACAATGACATTCTGTGGAGCGTTTTTTTTTTCAGTTATCCCTGCTCTTTTTGTTTTACTGCTCTACGTTATTTACACCAATTGTAATCTGATTGTCCCGTTGGCACCTGGACAACAGTCGAATCACAGTCGTTTTCCTCCATCAACCCCGCACAACAAGCATAGGCACAGGCGATGTTTATTTATAGAGACCCACGCGTGACACCATATTCCCTTCTTCTTAGAATGATCTGCCGTGCACTGGGTGCGGGAAACAGGCAGGAACAATTACGCGTTTGGAGTAAATCGGAGCAGATGCCTGATCAGTAAGTGCACCATTTTCCTAGACATGCATGTCAATCCGGTTCACACAGGATTCCTGAACATTCCGCACTTTGTCCACATCTACCTTGGCGCACTGAGCTCGCATTTTCAAAGAACAACAACAATAATGCATGTAGGGCTTGGTCCTGGACTCGCCATTGTTCCTACCCATCCGCACAGGCAGACGGGTAGTCCGCTACTCAGCTGATCTTCCCAATGTGCCCTCAGAGCTGCCCAAAGTTAAATAATAGACGAAACCCAATTAATTATTCGTACAAATTGTGTGCAGTGATTGGTAATCGGGCTGAGACCATCAACTTGCACGATCAAGACGTCATCATGGCCAAAGCAGTTGATAGCTCCACATCCCGCCAACGCCTTCTATCCCGCACCTCCGATGACCACGGTTGGCTACGTACTGTAAGAAAGAAGTTGAACATTCATACATATCCTCTGCCAGACCTGACGGCTTCTGCACGGTAAAGCACGCGAAGCTCCTAACAGCATCCACACAACCAGGCCTTAGAGGTCTTACCCTGTCAGTCGCCAGACTAGAGGAGACCACGCCACGCTTGAAAACCGGATCCATATCCAAGGATCTCAGCGGTTGCCGGCCGAGTGCTTGACAAGGCAGAAGGAGCCTCAACCTCCCCCGACTCTCCGAGGAACTCCGAGCCAGTTGGCTGATAATACGCACTCAGATGGTAAATGTTGTTGCTTTGCTCTCCAACACACCGGTGCTGCTCTACCAGTAACGAATTGGCATGTTCTGTTTACGTGACAAACCTTACTAATTGGCTGTGTCGGGTGGTGGAGGGTTTAACGACACATTTATATTTTTTCACCATCTATCTAAAAAAAACCCCCACCTATTATGGATGACAATACGTACTTAAAGAGAGGCATGGCGATGTGCTCCATGAAGCTGATCTGTAGCTCAGGGATGTAGGCCTTCTCCCTGTCCATCATCTCGCTCGGCCGATTGCCCATGGCTTTCTCCTGCCGCGGGGGGCGGGGGGGGGGGCACCAGACAAACGGTCAATCAATTCGACCCGACGTCCACATTATGCAATTGATTCACTCGCAAAGGGAACGTGATCGATGCGTCGTGTAACCCACCAGATCTCCTTGTGAGAAAAACTCCTTGTAAATCAACTCCTAAAAAAAGACAAAAAAGACACACACACACACACATCATCACGAGTGAGTGAACGGCGCACGGTGGCTATTGAAAAGTTCACGTGAATTGTGCAGGTGTGCGTCGTTGACGTGTTCATTAGCGGGGAGGCCTCACAGCGATTTTCCTCGTGGTCTTCCAGCCTTTGGTTTGGTCGGAAAGGTCACACGAGGTCATGAGCAGGCAGAGCAGCAAGCTGTGCTGGTGACCGTTGTCCGGATTGTACCCGGCTGTGGACACAGAAAACATCGACGTGAATGCGTTGTAGAGGAACGTGCATGTTAAACAAAGTCTACATGCTGTGCATAGTTGTGAGCATGATTATCTGTTCATCGGCTACGCATCAAAATTCGAAGAAAGTAAACCTCGCAAAAAGTACTCCCCGTTGGGATTAAATAAAGCAATCGATTGTGAAACTACTGCAGACTGAATGTTAAAACAAAGCAACTTTTGTGATAGATTTGCGATACAGGAATGGCGCGAATACCGAACACACTAAACTATTATATCGACGCACGTTTGCTATAATACACGACGATATTTTGAGGCCCAAAATCTATGTGCCCGGAGGATCTGTGGCCAACTGTCTGCACTGGCTAAAGGCTCAGTGGGCCCCGGTATATGGGTCACGTCAGAGTTTTGTGGGTCCCTGGAGATATATAGGCCCTTCGCTGGGGTTGTGCCTAAAACAATCAGCAATCCACTGTGTCTCTGAGTTACAACTCGGCAGAAGTTGCCACGTGAGAATTGTAAGACATGGCTGCCACATGAGCCCGCAGTCACATGTGTGGCACCAGGTTGTTGACGTTTGAATATCCTTCATGCTGGTATTGCGTAACAGCTTGTAAAACAAAAACAAACATCAATTACCCATGACCCCACTGAATGTGCACTTACGGTTAAAGTTTAATGCGAAATGATCATGCATGGGATTGGCCAAACATCCGAATGCAGGACTCTCATAAGTAAAGAGCATTGAGCACTCAGTGAAACGTTTCTGGTGAATTACTGGACCAGTTTGTTATTGTCGACAAACAATAAAATAATTTACAGCCCCCTGTCAACTCACTGCTCGATGAAGGCCTCAATGTGCTGTTGACTTTGGGGATTTTTTGACCATACTCCAAAAATGCTTATCAGTTGCTGGTTCTTACCATTAAAATCGTTACAATTATTTGTTCAATCCAAATTTAAATAGACTTCATAATGCTAAAAAACACCCATACAAATTCAATGCTATGAAATTAATCGTCTTTGGTAGTTCTACAGCATCTAATTACGGTTGCATATGAAGACACTGCTGGATGGCAATGCCAGATTAGTATATCTGTGGCAAACTGCTGAATTGTACTTGGAATCCAAGTATCTCGATGTTCTATATGGAACATCTGCAAAACAAAAAAAAAGGTGCATCGCTCTTCCCGTCACGATACCATCGGCTATTTTCCTCAGGTCCTTGAAGATGCGGAGGTGGTGAGCGAGGTCTGTAGCCAAGATTATGTCCCTCATAAGGTCCAGCATCCTCTGGTACTCCTGTGTTTTAGGGTCAAAGGTTAAAGGTGCAGAGGCCATAGGGCGATGTGAATACCGAGTGGCATGCATTTGGAAGGACGTTTTGCCCAACCGGGTGAAACATTTTTTTAAATTGTTGGAAAATTGAGCAATTTTTAAGGGCGTTTTTACGTGTACGCAAAATAGGTTAAAATATGAAAGGGAATACAAAAACAAACCCACAGAAGTCAGCGGAAAACTTTCTCAAAAGGTCACATTGCAATACATTCTGAATAAAGTATTGCCATTACACATATTACATTGCTCCATTGCTTTTAAAAACGATAACAAACGTATATCACTTGAGTTTACAAGAATGAATTTTAATCAGGTAATAAATACACTCCACACTCTTCCATAAAAAAAAAGTGTGAGCTTATTGCCTTGGCTGCAATCAAAACTTTCAGGTTGTATATTTTAATAACTTGAACTTAAGTGGATCATACATCAATAGAAAACACAATAATGGAACGTAGCAATATATAAATATATCCAACTAGTCTGTTTATTATATAAATCTATCCAACTAGTCTGTTTATTATGCCGGATCGTGAGAGGTTATATCTGTGAATATCACTCGAACCTTTTTTTTTCACCGAGAGCATTTCACTTGATCTCTGATCTTTTAATCTCAAACGCATTTCCAGAACACGTACAAAACGGCCAAATGATTATTTCTGATTAAAAAAAAAAACATTCTCCAGCATCAGCCAATAATTTCAAAGAGCAGATCGTGTAGGAATTGACAAGATTTAAAAGCGTGGACCTTGGTGACTGACCTTTTGACTTGAAAAGTTATCCCAGATGAGACACGGTGGTCACGGGCCTATCAGTGTGGATTTCATCTAAGATTGGGCCAATGATTGCGGAAGGTGCTAACGGGTGCACAGGCACACAGTTGATCACGTCCTATTCGCATTGGCAGAGAGGAGAAGCTATGAATCAATATGGCATATCCAGCATTATATTTCTAGAGCTGTGCCGGTAGATACTACACATATATGAGGGTGATCCAAAAGTCACGACACATAGGGTTATATTTGTTTGAACAAATGTTCAAACAGACTCATATTAACATTAATGCACGCATGAGTTATTGTTTTAAATGAATTTAGGACTTGTTTTTTATTCATCAATTAATTTTTGTCTCAATTCATTCAGGGTTCTAGGTGGAGTTTTGTAAATCACGGATTTTGTGGTTACTCCACAGGAAGAAGAACAATCTTTATTAATAATGATACATGAAAGATTTACTTAAAGAATAATCGATGTTTTAATGCCAGTGTTAAAATAAATTAAATAACTCGATGTGTTCTGACTTTTGGGCCACCCTATGTATAAATATAAATATCATGGACAGATAACATGTCATGTAGTGAACTGCCACAAGGTATGCTGAAAAATCCACACTGAGATCTAAGTAATTAATTTATTATTCAATAATACCATCCTTTGGGAAAGTACTATTTTTAAAGTGAGAATAATTGTTGCCCCAAATCTAATATTCCACCTACATACATTTTTTTCTAAGTTTACAATCGTTTAACTATCTTTTTTCGTGAATCAACAACAGGATACATTTATATTTCAGACAATTCTGTAATTTTTGTCTTTTTTCTAATTTTATGATTATTGTGCTGCAATATCACGTCATGATGAGAGGAAGAATCCATTATCATGTCGCTCAGAACAGCACAATGCTCTCCGTTAGAGAAACTGAACACAGAACCCGATGTATTATGGAACTACTTCTGAAACCCTGTTAAGTGACTTCTGGTCTACACGTTAGAGAGTGGCACTGTAGCCTTGCTGCAGAGAGCAATGATCATCGTAGAACATTGAAAAATGTAAAATTACGGCTCAGAACTGGAATCTATCCAACCTTAGTGCAGAACCATATTTAAAGTGAATTTTTTTTTGTTGTTGTGTGTGTGTGTGTGCACATTGTTATTGGTGATCAGGCTGGGGCCCATCACCTCAATGCATTTAAGAACCTGGTTTAGTCACAGGTGGTTGCCTGGATATGAATCCATAATCTCAGCGGTGCCAGCTCAGCCCTCTGACTTCTGAGCCACCAGGCCATATTCTCCCCCCCCCCCACCCGTACCATCACCGAAGCTTTAATTCGCAACGTTCAAGTGACACGTGCAAGCAACATTTTCCACAGACGCGTTCATAAAGAGGGCTGCTGCGAAACGTCTCCTCATCGTTAGCGTGTCGTGAGATTAACTTCTAGAAGCAGCTTTAGTAACGAGAGCACTCTGAGGGATGTGAGGACGGGGGGTGGTGGTGGTGGGGGGGAAGTGTGCAAAACGTGAAGAAATAATCATTGCTGTTGATTCTAGCCGACGATTTGGGCGGAGCGAGGCATTTAAACAAAAAAAAAATTGTCCGACTGCATTAGGCCGAGCGCCGGGCGCGAGAATTAAAGCTCGCGGGAGGGCGCACTGCCAAACCCCAGAGCCAGCGCGTCGGCCGTGAGGCCGTCGCCGAGTGAGCGTGCGCGGCTTCCGCAAAGCCTCGCCACTGGACGGGTCATCATTCCGTGAAGCGATGCTTTTACTGCAGCCTGGGCGCACTTTCTACGACCGCACTGGAAAAAATACGGCGAAATCGTTTCCGGCCTCCGCTGCAACGTTGTGTGCATAAAGCAAGCAAGCAAGCAATTAATTAATTAAAGAAACATTCAACAAAAATTACGGGCTGACGTTAGCCATGAGTTGCTGCGTTCATAACACCGTGCGCTAATCACTACAAACGCCTTTCCCCGCACACAAAAAAGACAAATATCGCCCGAATAGCCTGCAGAGACTGTCGGGGCAAAGGCTGATTTGCGAGCGCCTATTAAGGTCGCCGCGCCACATTGAGTAGTAATCGCTCGAGATGTATTTCGCAGGAGGTGCGGTTTCAATGATAAATGAGAACGTATCATTCATGGTGTGGCCAGTGTCGTGCGTGCCCTGCCGCCACCTTCGTTAACCCAGTGACGATTTTTTTTTTCCCACACTGCGCCAGGTGCAATTTTTGTGTTTACGATTTAAGTCAATCAGGTTCAGATATTCACCGCTGATGTTGGCCGTGGCCCGAAATCTAACCCAGGTTCGCAATACGCCAAACTAATGCACAACTGCTCCGCCCAAAAATTGCGAACGTACAAAAGACAAAGATCCCCCCCGTATAGCCTTCACAGGCTGTTGGGGCAAGTGCTGTTAGCGAGCACCTATGAAGGCCGGCACTGTGGCACACGAGGGGGTGGGTGGCCAGCACCACGCCCGACCGCATTTGTCTTCCAAGTGACGATATTTACACACCGCACCAGGTACTCATTTGAGGCCGAGTCGACCTAGGGGAGGCCCGCGACCGGTTCAGATAATCGTCACTGGTGTAGGCCGTGAGCGGGAATCGAACTCGGGTCACCGGGTTCGTAGCGCAGCATAGCGCTAACCGCAACGCCACCACTCCACCAACAAAAAAACAAAGACACACTAACGCACACACTTGCGCACACAAAACACAACGATTCTTGTACTTGCTCGTGCCCGTGACATTTTATCAAAAGAGCCGTGCAGGTGCGAGTTGTACGCTTGGCAACAATGGATTGCACAGACCGCTGGCTTATTGACTAACAGCCCCGATGTTTGGGTGTCTTATGCGCATGCTGATTGTCGCCGTGTCCCTGTGAAAGTGTGTGTGTGTGTGTTTGTGTTTGTGTCGGGGCATCAAAAGCGTAGCCGAGTGATAGGCGTGCAGCTGGGGGAAACGGTAAAGTGCAGCGTAATAATTCTCACCTTTCTGGAAAGATTCTCAAGTATATTGCATCCAGCCGAGTTGATAATGGCGATAGCCTGAGCGAAATGATGCCTCTGCGATAAATTGCACGCAATAGGACAAAGAGGTGTGTCAGACGCATCACCGTCAGGGTAATAAAACCCAGCACCATTGCGACGCGTGAGGAAATAATATTTTCGCGACACAAAATTGCTCTGTACCTCCATCACGGAGCCTTCGGAGCTGTACAAAGCAGCAAGGACTGATTTCTGCAAGGAAAAAAACCCAAGACAAGGCAAGAATTTAAGGCAGTGCTCATGATAATAATGATAATAATAAACTACCTCAAACACAAATTTTGATTTAAAGCTTTCGTGACTGCAGTAATTCATATTCTTAGCTCTTTCGGTAAAGTCACGTTGAAGGGAAACAATAAAATATATATAACAACAATATATTTTTATATATTTTATTGTTTCCCATCAACGTGACTTTACCGAAAGAGCTAAGAATACCTCAAACACAATTTATTTTAAAAAAAATGTAACACTGGACTGGACTTTATCCTCAAAAGTGACACCAGAAAATAACACGCAGGCGCTTCTGCCACGCAAGGGAAATATGAGGCAGCACACTTTAGAGCAGCGCCACGTTCAAGATGAAGGCAATTAATTGCCTGTAATGAATGTCCTTGTAAACATGCATTGACAATAAATGAACCTCATGCGCAGGACAGGAGCATGCAGCGTGATTTAACAAAGCGTAATAAAACAAAAACAAGGCCAGATGAAATTGCCCCAAATTGTTTTGCTGACCTTGGAAGATTTCATATCATAACTCTGAACCCCCTTTCGTTAGTGGTTGTGTATGATGTTCGTAAAATGTGCGATCATTTTCTCAGAAATGTCACGTGGGTACATAAAAGATGGTAAAAGGTAAAAGGCGATGGCGAGATATTAACTTCCTCGCCTGATATCTCGAAGGTGATGGGTTCGATACCGACCCTGACGCCTGTATATTTGGAGTTTTCATTATTTTTTTCTGTGGTCGTGTGGATTTTTGTCCGGGTCTTACGGTTTTCCCCTCCACATTTAGAATCAACATCACGCGTCTAGAGTATTTGGCTGCTATAAATTTACACGTCATAAGCCTCTTTGTTGAGCTATCATTTCCCCACAGGTCACTTCTAAAAAAGAGCTACGTAGCTCAGTGGGCCTTACCTGTTAAAAAGAAAAATAGCAGTAGCTAGGCCAGTAGCAGTGGGCCATGGCTGTACAGATCCCCTACTAGAGGGTATATTGGCCTACTCTTCCACACTGGCCACACATATTGGAAGAGGTGGGGGTATCCACACTTCACCTCACCACACAATACCTGTCGATCGAATAACTACCATGCATACTGCTGAGTGGCCAGAGGCGCTGGGGGGGAGGTGGGGGGAGGATTTAAGAACCTTCTAGCAACTGCTACGCCGGGAGATTGAATCGGCAACATCTGAACTGCAAGTCCGGCGTGCCAAACATTCAACCACGGCAGCAGCATCCCCGGTATACAATAATTATTGTGTTGCATGCAAGTTGAACTTCTTTCACACCGTACGTAGCCAACCGTGCTAAACAGAGGTTGAAATTGATTTACACAGCCATGTGCGTTGAAGGCAGGTAGGGACCAAAATTATGAAAAATTGAGGTGAGCAAGAGCAGAAGTCTGAGAGCTTTGATCATGACAAAATAAACATACCAATGTGCTCAAAGAAGAAAGTTTTCAATGACCTTTGGATAAGAAAAACGTCGACACCGACAAAGAAAACGGAACAAAAGTGGGAATGTGCTCAGAGAAGCATCGAGATATGCGCGCTCCAGATTACACCGAGAGATTCAAGGAAGAGCACACGGGTCAGGGAACAAATGAAAATCAAGAGACATCGCATTGACTTCAGGAAGCTAAGTGGGCTTTCGCCAGGACACACTGCTCGAAGAGATGATGGCCAATGGGCAAGGCCCGCGACAGCACGGCAACCAAAGGGAGAAGAACGACGCCGGCTTGCCGGCAACCGCGGAGATGGGGCGACGAGATGAGCTCGTGCGCGGGCGCGAGATGGATCGTGGCATCGCGGCACCGTGAGAGATGGTGACAAACATGCGGAGACGTTCATCGAGCAGCGGATCGAAGCGGTTAAAACATTGCCGTTGATTGTGCAAAAAGAAAAAAAAAACCATTCACACTCACAATGATCACTTCTAGACTAGATACAGGCTTCATGAAAAAGCAAGGCTCGAAAACCCAGTTTGGACACGACTGGTCCGGAACCTGGGTTCGAACCCAGGATTCAACGCGGCTGTTGCTGGCTCAGCGCTCCGGCCACCCGAGTCACCTGGCCGTCTCCTGCGAGTTGCATTTCTTACCCAAAAGACTGCGCCTACAGATTTAAACATCAGCGGTGCAGCTCAGAGGCAATTACTTCGCTACAACAACAACAGAAAATGTCAGAAGTCGTAGTCGTACAGTCACACGGCGTGTTTCCTTTGGAAAAACATGACCAAATAATGCCCACGGCTGTTCTTACCGAGTCCACTTGGAAGGAATTGTTTGTTCCGCGATGGTCCAGGTCATGGCAGAGACACGAAACAAACAGAGCAAAGATTTCCATGTCCCTAAAAGTAAAAGAAGAGCCAAACAAAATCCTTTAAATGGGGGGGGGGGGGGGGGGAAGTCAGTGTAACAGCAAACTGTAAAAATGTCATTGCTGCCAAATACTTGTGCACTTATATGATTAGACTCACATAGAACGCTAAAGGATAAAATACTAATCATATGTTTTAAACTTAAAACGTCGCGTCTCATCATTCAGACTTTCCTCTCTATCACGTTCCCGCTTCTCTGCTTTTTGTTTTCTCTCAAGCCAAGGGCAGGCCCACGGCTCAAGTTCCCTCCATCTCCATCCGATCCCGCCTCTCCCCTCACCCCGTGACTTCACAACACCGCTCGCTGTACTCAGGTTCTAAAGCCATAACGAGGGAAGGAATTGGCTTTCCCTTGGCTTCGTAAAAAAACTAAATGGTGACAGCAGGGCTCTACGTTACACTCGGGACAGGCTTTTCTGTACACAGACCATACGTTTTCTCGTCAGCAGGGTCTAACAGATTGTAAACAAACTTTACAACGCGTGTACCAGCACGCCAAAGCACACACTTGTCAACGCAGACACGATCGTGGTTCTAGGGGGAATGGCGGTTGCGGTCGTGGCGGTGATGGTAACAATGGTACTGACTGAAGGTATTTTCCCAGATCGAGGTTTTTGTAGAGAAGGTAGCAGAAGTGGGAGACCGAGTAGGCGTGCATCCAGTTGTGATAGGGAGGATCGCGGTATCCCTTGCGGACCATCAGGCACCATCTGCAAAGGTCGGGGGTGTGAAATCCCAGAGGGAAGTTGGGAGGGGGGGGGGGGGGAGGGTTAAGAAAGGAAGTACAAGTGATTATTATTTTTTAAGATTTGGCGTAAACTAAATCACGTTAAATATACAAGTACTACTAATTATTTGGTCCTACTGCATTCGCAGTGTTGCACAACAAATGTGTCAATGATGCTGCGTTCTTAAGAGGAAAAATTATACAACAGGTGACATTTCGGGCATGAAAAAGAGCCATTGCTCGAAGTATCAACTATAACATGTCTTTCCTTTTACGGCAGAATTATCGACGAAATGTTTAAAATATATATGAACACGAAACTTAACACACTCATCAGCACCACTGAAAGCTTCACATAACACAATATATATATAGAACAGGTGACATATTGGGCATGGAGAAGGGCCATTACCCGAAGCATCAACTATGAAATGTATTTCCTTTTACAGCAGTGTTATTGTTTTTTGTATGTAAAAAAATTACATATTAAACACTACACTCTGTTTTTGTTTCATTCGCCACTGCCAAGATATGGAAAAGCAAGAAGCTGTGGAGTGTCAAAGAATGCAATTATATGAACACTAAATAAAATGTAAATACTGCAGGAGTACTTCAAAGGCACCGTTTGCGCGTAGCAAATACCCCAGCGAAAGCGAAGAAGATGAATATTTAATGCGTGGTGATTTATAAATATACAAAACAGACACGTGCCATAGTCTATTTCACTTCACATGACACCACAGGGCTCAATGGAGGGAGTAGGTGGTAAGATGCATGTTTTTCTTTTTAAACATTCAGAGCGTTTTTGCTCGTCAAATACACTGGGTTTTTTTTCCTTTTTAAACATATTTACATGATATTATTATTATTTGTTTCATAAAGCCTTGCTTAACTGGTTTTAAGAAAATATAAATCACACACCTGGGCAGGTTCTGAGTTGAGTAATCACTTATCATATGGGTTAAAAGTTTTTTTACAGCCGATTCACTCCTGAAATGAAGGCCTCGACCAATGCAGTGTTATTGACCATACTTCACCACGCTGGTGAGTGAAGGTGGAGGCAGGACCCACGGGACTTGTTCAGATATACTAATTTTAACTTATAAAGCGCCCTTAAACAACCGTTCTCACCAAGCGATGTGAATCATGACGGCGAATGACTTAAATATCACTTTTTTTTTACATTGAAGTCGATTTTGAATTTTTTTTTAATGCAGCTGTCGTGCCATCTCTCGAACCCATGTATTACGTGGCAGTGTGCCACTTAGCCCTCCAATCCAAACGCACTCTTCAAAGCGGCCCTCCTTTTAGATGGCCCTGCACATCCTTGTTAAATGTGGCATGAGGCATTATGTTCGAGCTCGTAGCGCACTGGGGCGATGCACGCACACACTTGTCTCAACGTGATGTGAAACATCGCGGAGTACGGAAAATATTTATATATTATGCATTGTGCGGCCGAACACCGTTAAATAAATACCGCTGGAAAACACGACTAAAAAAGGAAAACACGATTTTGTAGGCCGTGAGTTTACAAAAAATTACTCTGTCGGTAACTTGTCAACACATTTCATGTATTCCATACGAATAATAAGATATTCCTTATTGTGATAAAAAGTTGGCTACGTACAATAACTACGTTTAACTACATCGCCGTCAGTTGTGGTCAGTCCACTGCTGGATTGAAGTACACATACACTACACACCATAAAAAAAAAAACCCATTCAACTATTAAAGATATTAGCATGATTTCAGATTCCCCACTCCTCCACAAATTTGCTGGTCTTTTTTGCAGTTTTACTCCGGGTAAAGTCACGAGACAATGTGCGTCTATTTGGAAATCTGGCAAAGCGGTACATAACTCGATGTTTTGAGAAAAGACTGAGGAAGGTAATATTCCAGAACGGCTTCTGGCATCCCATTAAATTAGCTCTACATGCTCTGATATGTCCCTGCTATGCGGATCATCACTTGGCAGCCAAAGTGCCATTCCAAAAATCTCAGAGCTGTAATTTCTACAAAATCTAGTTAAAAAAGATGTTACGTGATGGTCAAATGTGTGAAATCACTGGTGAAGAGGCTCAATTAACTTTCTCTACCATAGAACACTTATTAACGATGCACAGCTGAAACCCAGGTTGAAATTCAGGATTCTCAATGGTGTCATCTCCGTGCTCTGACCTCCGAGCCATCTGACCCCCTGCTGTAAATCGCAAAGGTTAATTATCATGTTGCCACGGTGTAATGTTTAGCACACGGGACTGGCAATCCAGAGGTCACCGGTTCAATGTCCAAGCACCACAGCTGTGAGACAATGGGCAAGTTTCTTAAACCCCGCATACCCACCCAGCAGTACAAATGGGTAAATTATATTTGAGATGTTGACTCCCTCGCCTCGTATGGAGGAGGTCGTGGGTTTAATCCCGACCATGACCCCTGCTTATTTGGAGTTTGCATGTCTCTGTCCCCGTGGTAATGTGGATTTTACTCAGGGTCCTCAAGTTTTTTCCTCCACATTTAGAATGATCATGCGTTTCGAGTATTTGGCTGCTTAAATTTCCACATGATAAGCCACTTCGTTCATCTATCATTTGTGGCCAGGTCGCTTCTGAAAAACAGCTATATAGCTCAGTGGACCTTACCCGGCATCTCTCCCACTTCAGTAAAAAACATTTATTGCTGTGGTTGTCACACCTGATGACGATTGTTTGTGTTGCAATCGAAACGTCGTGATTTATTTACATCTATTTTTATTTTTTATTTTATTTTTTATTCATATTCTTTTTTCACCTACGTGACTTTACTGAAATAACCAAAGAGTACTTACCTGGTAAAATCGTTTTTTATAGTGATTGGTACGTGGCATGTGGTGGTGTGGTGGGGTGAAGTGTGGGTACTCCCAACTCTTACAAGACGACAGGGAGAGGGGGGAGTACCCGCACGAGCATCTCAAGGGGTTCTCCAGAGCACCTTCGCCGTCAAATTAGCGTGCGTTCGCGAATGTGCTTGCAAATGGCATTTGTACTGCACTGCGTAGAGAGACCTGGTCAGAGTCCGCAGGTCCAACTTGTAGTTGTTGATGAAACCCATGTCCTCAACCATGCCCAGGATGGCCTGTTCACCACAGGGGAACAAAAAAAAAACTGCCCGGTCATCGTGTCAAACCGTGGCCATCTTTGTTGGTTTGTATTAGTTGTTTGTATTTTCAACAGCAACAACAAGTATAGAAAAGCAAAGGATCGGGATAGACGGTGTCCAGACCACTGGCATAAAACAAGCGTAATGATAGAGGGCCTCTAGTTATGGTTAGGAATCGATAGAGGAGCAAGAAAAAGGAAAGGGGGGGGGGACAGTAGAAAAAAGAAGAGAGAGATAAAACGTTAAAGGAAGCGAGTGACAGGCGGTAGGTGGAAAGATGTGGTGAGATGCTCAAGTTCGGAATGAGTAGACATAATGGGACCAACGTCTTCCCAGTAACCATTAGCAATGTAGTCAACAGAGCCCCGCGATGATCCAGGTGTGGATACTTCATGCATCAGATTTGGCCGGTTGCTCGAGGGAGGGTAGTTCAACTGTGACCACGTTTGGCTGCAGCGGATCCATGAGAATGTTTTTTTTTTATTTACTCATCGTAGGCGTGACGGCTCGGGGCCAGCGTGCCGCACGTGTGCTTCGCCAGTCTTTGATAATTAGTGGCGCCGTGGTGGTGTGAGGTTAACTACCTCGCCTGGTATGCAGGAGGTCGTGTGTTCGATCCTGACCCTGACGCCTATTGGATATGCGGAGTTTGCGTGTCTCTCACCCTTTGGTTGCGTTGGATTTTTCTCCAGCTGCTCCGGTTTTTCCCTCCACATGAAGAATCAATATGACGTGTTTGGAGTATTTGGCTGCCAGAAATGTCCACGTGATAAACCACTTCGTTGAGCTATGATTTGTAATAGCCAGGTCGCTTCTGTAAAAAAAGAGCTATACAGCTCAGTGGGGCCCTTACTTGGTTGAAATAGTTTTAGTTTGTTTTTTTGTAAAAGAAATAACGTGACGAACGAGCTAAGCTGTTGCACGGGAGGAGGGGGGGGGGGGGGGGGGGAGAAGTGGGAGCCAGCTACAGCTCTCGGTGGCGTGCGTTTACCGGCACTCCATGCCAACACCAAAGCCAGGGCCGACTGGCGCACGCGTGAAGGCAGCCGGAGGGCTTGAGATGTATCCGAGCAGTGCCGACCCTCCCTAAGCCAGCAACCGCGTGATTGGAATCCAGGGATAACAGTCGAGCGGTGTTGTGCCGGAATGGAGTGTGTGGACATGAGCGGAGAAGTCGCTCTAATACAAGTGTCAAACAGTTGTGTGAGCACAGGGTCCAGGACACTGCCGGGAGATGTGGAGGACGCTGACCACAAATTGAATATACAAACTTGCAAGAGAGTTTCAGGAAGTAAATAGGTTGTGGATAATTATCTTATCGTGGTAAAGAAAACAACTGCATTGGAAACGGGGCAATGACCGCGACACCCAAATGCAGATGTTTCCATTTGATGGCAGACCCACACCGTGTGATTAAAGATACGAGTGCCCTTGTAGAGCAGTAAATAAGAAGAGCGGAGCACTTTTTTTGTTTGCCACTCAGGGTGAAATTAAGTTGAAGAATGAGGCCACAATGTGGTGACAACTGCGGTAGTCACGTGGAATATCTTCTAATAATGTCTTCACGATTCTTAAAGTCATGCACTACTCACCATGCAATTTTGACCAAAATTCCACGTAGATTACCAAATTATTAAAAGTCTCTTGACTTGTGTAAAAAAAAAGTCGTACATCCTTTATTAATGAGCAGGAAGGACCATATTGAGATATCATGATCTCTTTTTACAAAGGAGACCTTGCATAATTAATGATAAGATGAAAATAACATTACATAGCTTCAGGCTTTTCAAGTCCATGGTTTGAAACTTTGCGCTTTCTGCTGGCGTTTGGCTGCCAAACTGGCAATGCTCCTGACACTCAAAAGTTCAGCTGGAGCACATTCCCTCGAAGCGACTGGTCACCGCAACCTCATGCACTCCGCTCTGAACTTCACAAAGCTCCACGCGGAACCCCTCGGCCTGCCCCCCCCCCACCCCCCCCCCCCCACCTCTCAGCTGGCGTGGCGCATGGTACAGAAAAAATTAAATAATCATACAGTGGCGAGTCAGAAATTGTATTTTTTGTTCTGCAATAGAGCCGATACCATAGTATATAATGGAATGTCTAGAGGAATGTCTAGAGGAATATCCATTACTATTTCCATTGTGTTATCGCTGCCATGTCAGGGTCGAAATATTAAAAATTACGCTTTAACCACAAATTACTCAATTAGGAATGTACGCAGGAATCATCACCCCCTGGCAGACTAAATGAGACCCCATCCTCGTCTCTTTGAGTTCTCACCGAGTTAAATTTGAAACTTTATGTCACGAGGTGAAGAAACTTACATTCCGATTCATGGCACACAAAAGTGCCCCATGCTGTCCTAGAATAGCGTTGGAAGACGATGTCATAGAACTACATTTGGCCTCTAGCCACACCAGGGACACATATTTAATATTCCCTGCAGAGTGTTTACAACATGCCACTCAAACCAATATTTTCATTCTCAGGAGGTGCAATTTCCTGAATTAAGGGACACACCTAATATTCATGTATATTTGGTGTGTGTGTGTGCAGTTTTTGGTGACTAGGCTGACACCGTAATCTCACAATTTCAGAACCCAGTTCATATGATGAGATCATATGGAAAGGGTGTTCTTTAATTAACAAAAATTATAGAAGTTAAAAGAGGTCTAGGAAGGCACGTACGGTGCAAAAGAAGTTCAATATACATACGTAGATACAGAAAAGGAAGTGCATTGATGACCCAGGAGGATTGGACTGCCAGAGAGTTTCGTGGAACTTAAGACTTTGACCTGGCACGGGAGGATCCGGAGATGTATTGTAATTTACACTCCGGAAAGAGGCGACTATTAATAAGAATCAGAGCAAGTTATGCAGTAAAGTTTGAAGGGTTGGAGAGAAAGGGAGAGGCTGAAACTCCATTTCGAACCCAGGACCTCGGCAGTGCTGGCTCGGTGCACTGCCGTGGTAAAAGTACAGCGGCGCGGCTCTCTGGTGTGCGGGCAGTGAAACTTCACCGAGCCCCATGGGCCGGATTGGTGCGCAAACACGGGGTTGAAGGCACGGGAATGGGGTGGGTGGGGGGGGGGGGCAATTTCAGTCCTTGCTCCAGGGCAGGGGTCAGGGCAACCAAAATAACAAGAGCTATTTCTGTTTCACATTCGGTACCAAAAATTCAAATTTTCAAGAGCCGCCGCAATGCACTGTGGGGGAATACGAGAACGGTGGTGGGTCCTTGATAAATGACGGTGACGAAGCAGCCGCTGAGAGGGCCGCGTGCCACGGCGCCGGAGCCACGGGTTGCCCGACCGCCTGCTTCGGGACCCATGCCGATCGCCCCACGCCACCCTTGACAGCGGCATCGCCGTTGGCACGAGTCACGTGGCTACCGCGCACGGTTATTATCTTACCTTAAAAGAACGTATATAGCGGCAAGGCGCTTTACGCGGAATTTATAACAATAGCACGCGCGAATGTAATGGCGGAGATGAGGTGAGCGAAATAGGTGAGAGGAAGTAATGGGAAAATCTGTGCTGCGTGAATTCGGTGAAAGCGATAAATGATGGTGAATGCATTGAATGAACGGGGAATGAGTGAGGGTCATACAATGAGAATATGAAGAGGGAAAAGTCAAGGCGGCGGATATGAGGTGGAGATTGAGGGGTTGTGCGGTGAACTCGGGAACATACGAGTGAGTTTTGAGAGCAGAGCGTAAAGGGATGAGCGAAGGTGACCGTTTCATGCGGAGGAGGACGTTTATTCCGGTGAAGAAGGGGGTCGAGAAGAGAAAAAGGAGCTAAAGCATCGACTGAGCACGAGGAGAAGGAACAAAGGAGGAGGGGGAACAGAGGAGGAGGAACGGCCGTATCGTTCTCGACCGGTATACCCGCCAGCCTCGCGCCAGGGTGGCCCGCGCTTAGTTTACCGTAATGGTCTGGTCCTCGCCCAGGGAGCGTGGAGTGTAGGTGAACTTGGCAAAGTCTGGGTGGATGTCCGTCACCGTCTGGATCCTGGAGTTGAGCACCTTGTTCATCTCCTCTGGCGACACCTGGGTTCGTGGCAGATGTAGAAGTTAAAAGGCACTCGGGCCAAACTGTTGAATCGATGAAAATCAATCAATCTTTATCCTCCGTGCCAATATAGCCCTCAAGCAAGGCATCGGTGCACATTACAGCAGAACGGGAACGGTACAGGTGGAGCACGGAACAACAGGAATGAAAAAAGAGACCCATCATATACCCTCAGCCGTGAACACCAACTAAGAGAGTAAACTGCAACCACGCGCAACGAATAGCATGAGAAATGCGAGTAGTAAACAATGTGTCATAAAATATCTTCTTCTTTCGTATGGCTGCTGATGTAGATGCAGAGCAACAGTTACACATTCAGGTGGTCTAGCGAGATAGCCGCGTCAGGAGGGGCGGAGCTTATCGCTGTGACGTCTCCTTCGTATTTGTGGACCGGGGCATTGCGTCGTTTCACGTTGCACGGTCTCTGTTCTGGATGACCACAGTCGCACCACGGCTGCAGAGTTTTCCATTTGTGTATCAGGCATCCGCATAAAATAAATAATAAAGAGGAAAACTGGGTTTTTTTCTCCCTTTGTAAGATTAATCCTCTGAGAGAAAAAAAAATGACTTATCTTCCAGTAGGAAGGGTATAACATTTTTTTTTTAATTAATCGATTACAATCCATTGTTACGTCCATACGCATGCATCGGACCGTGCACGCAAGAGTCGATAACTCTACGGTACTCTCAATCAATTTATATTGCGTTCAATGGTTCTCCCATGAGCACCGTGCTGCCACGGGAGACGGCTGCAATCACCACAAGGCAAAATACAACAATAATTGACTCTCGAATAGCCTTTTACAACTTCCAATCACAACATGTCACTGAATCGCAATGGAGGCAAAACCGTGAGGAGGCCTCCTCGAGAAGTCTGTCAGTGAACACAGTCCAATAAAACACGGAACGTTGCGTCAACGGCGATCAAAACGGTCGCAACCGAATGCCAACGTTGGCCCAACGTTGGCATTCTTACTGGGGTAATTTTACAAGATGGACATGCAGTAAATGGAAACATTCAACACCGTGAAATAAATTTGGACCATTCTCAAACCACCAATGGATGAAGGCTTCCCCACATCGAGTTTTATCATTTGGGTTGGTGAATGAGGGGGAGGACATGATCAGCTCATATTATCACGCACGACTGATTTCGGCTGCGGTGGGGGGAATCGAACTTGGGGGTTTCCAGGTTCATGTGGGCAGCATGCTAACCCCACTGTACCTCCGCTCCTGCCCATGCAAACCATGCACACACGCGTATTCAGACTCTCGCCTGATACACACAATTATGCAGTAAATCGAGTCGTATAATTCAATCAAGTTAAACATCATTCTCTTCATAATTCTTTTGATTTTCGGCCCTCAGTGGCTTCTACAGGGGCAAACAGATTGACGAGCTGTAATTTAATTTATTCAGGACGAGATCCCCCTAATCCACGTGGATTTTTTAAGCCACGCAAACCTCCCCCCCCCACCATCCACACAATTCTCCTCCACTTACCTCATCATCCTTTCACGTAGAGCGCAACAATTGGCCTTAGCTCAACAATGGGGAAGCGCATTACCTATGAACAAGGTCCTTCTCTGTGTGGGTGTAAGTGCCGTTATCACCTGGGCTCCGGCTAATTTTGCCATAAACATTGCCTGCAATCCCACAGGCCACATCGGATGCCCACGTCAGCAGTTGCCACACGTCCATTTGCTGATGCAATCGTCAAGGGCAATCCAAGCTCTGCTTTGTTACATTTTTTTGGGGGGGGGGGGGGGTAAATAAAAGGCCCAGAATGTATTTCATCATTGCCGTCATAATCACCGAAAGCATCAGCAGCCGCGCTTTATTCACTGCTGAATTGAGGCCTCTAAAAGCTGTTGTGCCACCTATCACGGTTTTGCGTTGCAGCAATCTATCCGAATCGATTTTATCACTCCATCTCTATGGTGGACGTTATCTTGGGTGTAATCACTTATTTGGTGTATATTCTATTTGCTTGTTTTTTACCGTCTGTATAAATAATTCATGCTGAGTCAACCTAAATGGGACCAAATCCTGGCTGAGCAGGCACATCGCCCCATTATTTAATCCAGCACTTATGTGAGGAAAGGTTGAGTGGTTCATGTAGAGATTTAGATTCTTGAATCCATCCGTGCAGACCTTTGAGATTCCTCCCACACGTCACACGCTCGTAAATGGAAGTGGACCAACATCACAATGTTTGGGATGGACAAACACATGGAAATTATTACTATCACGATTTGAACTCTCTCCGATGTTGGGGGCATGGCCAGAAAATTACTTCAGCCCATTCGCTGTTTGTTGTCCCTCCACAGCATCTCCGATTAGCACAGTTGGCTGCGTAGGGTGCGAAAGAAGTTCAATATATCTATACATACATGCTGAATGTATAGCTAGGTTCGTGCTTAATATGCTGAGCTGGCAATCCAGCAGCTGCAATGAGATATCGATTGTTGTGCAATCATATGGACCGTGGAATGAGTTGTTTATCACTGGAAATGATATGACCGCATCGCGTGAGGCAATCGCTCAATTGAGGCGGCAAATGAAAGTGTGAGCTGTCATTGTCACACGTTTAGCCATTCGAATGGAATTATACGTTACAGGCACCGCAGACACCTCTCTGAACGTTATCAAAAGGTACAAAACATGCATTTCCCCGAGTGAGGAATTATTCTTTTTAAATTGATGGTTGGAGCGGTGTTGTGGTGGGTGAGGTTACTGCGCTGTGAACCCGACGGCACGAGTTCGACTGGCAGCTATGGCACGTATCGGTGCCGAGCGATATCTCAACCGGTCCTGTTGGCGCCATTCACCAACCCGCACTGGCTAGCGTGGTGCAGTAACGGTCAAATAACCCACCACCCCCCCCCACCCCAATGACAAAAAATGCACCGTAAGACTCTCCAGACATATGAGATAATTTCCTGTTCATTTATTTTAAAAAAATATACGGGAATAAAAAAAAATCTGTCTGCGAGTGATTGTCATGATATAATTATTTTAACTCATTTCAGCTCGCAGAGCAAAAACGGCAGAAACAAGTTGCGGAGCTTTGAGCAGTCTGACTCTAACCCAGCCCTCCCTTTAATCGGGTCGTGTTCCATGGATATATAAACATCGCCACGGAATTAAAATCCATACAATTTCTCGTGGGGCATTGAATGAGGTGTCGCATTGAGCTGGTGGAAAAGTTATCACTCGCCACCCCCCCCCCCCCCCCGGGACCCCCCCCCCCCACCCCGAAGCAGTTTCTACCAAATGAATGGCCAAGTTCTACTCTTGGCTCTGTGTGGAGGGCATTGTGCGTCAGTGCGCCGTCGTTTAGAGAGGAGGATAATTTCCTAGGATAAAACATATATTCTTGTTTTTGTCATCATTTTTATACCACCAAAAAAGGTCCCATAGATCTGTGCCTGCTCAACCCGAGCTAGTCACACTTTGATACTTGCGTTGCCTTTGGACTGTTCGCCTTTTGGCGTTCTCTGGTCTAGCACCGGTGCAGAGACAAGGCCATGAAGAAGGCTGTCTTTGGTGCAGGCCAATGAGTTTTGAAGACAATGCGTATATTATCAGAGCATGCTTGCGTACATGTTTTTTTTGCCACAAGTATGTATGTTTAATGCAGATTTGATGCCTGGCAAGAGATTATCTACTTGGTGTTTGAACATCTTAACCTTGTTGTGGTTTTCACACCTGATGATGATTGCTTGTGTTGCAGTCGAAACGTCGTGAGAATTTTATTGTTTTATGTTTTTATTATTTTATTGTTTCCCTTCTACGTGACTTTGCCGAAAGAACCAAGAATATGAATCCCTGCAGTCACGAACGCTTTCAATCAAAACCTTTTTTTATTGTTGTTATTATTAGAAAAGGCTAAAGGCTCTTCTTACTCTTTTTTTTCTTCATCAGCATAAGCCCCAATTCCCTTTTTTGTTCCACTTGAATGCGAACAAAAAACCCTTTCGTAAGACGACGACAATGATGACCCAGGCGTATTGGCACCATGGTATGTTTAACTGCCGAGATAATGTAGGCGCTGAGGGTTCATACAGCTGAGCTCCGCTTATAGGCTGCGTGGGTGCACACACATCAACCGCTCATGCTACCACGTGTGCACGCGCGTGTGTGTGTGTGTGTACAAAGCATGTAACGACTTGCCTACCCGGGTTATTTGATGAATTGTCACAACCGTAGGTGTTGATTTGATTAATTCGTTTTTAGTTTTTTTCCCCCATCCTCTTTTTACCCTTTCCTTTGCATTGTTTCTCGTTTGCATAGATTTGAGTGCTCGGTTTGCATCAAAAATATATAATTAGCGTATCATTTGCATAATGTAAAACCATTACAACAAGTGATGTTTACACCAACGGTTTGATGGGTGTATGACGGGCATGATAATCGATTTTTAAAAAAAATAAACGAATCGATGCAAGAGTTGCTGTCCCCGTGACCAAATCGCCCAAGAATCACCCGCGTTGCGCTCAATCTCGTGAGCGCTCAGAAGCTCAGCGGCGTTTTAAGCCTGGATAATGATTGGATCGGTGAGCAATGTGACCAAAACAACACGTGTCGTCGGCCGCCTCGGCGCCACGGTCGTCCGCCGAGGGCGGTGCAGCAGTAACCGTTGCGCTGCAATGGCCAGAATGGTGGAATGTGTCAACCCACACGACGTGGGGAGAGGGCCTTCCTCTCGCAGGGGAATTACACCGGGGCTGTACGCGTGTGCACGAATCTACACATTCTTGCCGTCCTAATGCGAACGCCGCTCAGCCAGTGGTGCACAAAGACGCAACCTCGTGATGGTGCCGTAGTTTCATTCCGTCCATCAATGGAACGCGTGCTACGTCTGCCTCGACGAACACCCTTGACATTTGTCGTCCAACGCATTTACGTTTCTCTCGAAATCCCATGAGGTGCAAGCGTATAGTTCTACACCGCCCCGAGTGGGTTGCCGGCTTATGCGGAGTCACTAAATGCGCAACAAATCATACAAATATGTGTCCCGCAGTCGACGACGACAGTGGCTCCAAACATGGGCAGCTTATAGCTGCACCACAAAAAGAAAAAAAAAACCCTAACACGTTCATCAATAAGTGGCCTTAAATGGAAAAAAAACAACTCTAAAAGGCGACGTTTCAGGCAATGGCTTCTTCCCCATAGCACACAGAGGTAAGAGAGATAAGTTAAATACGAGTTGGAGATAAAATAACAAAAATCACGACGTTTCGGCCACAACACAAGCGGCCTTCATCACGACGTTTATTTTATTGTTTACCTACGTGACTTTACCCAATAGAACCAAAGAGTATGGATCCTAGCAGTCACGAAAGCTTTAAATCTAGAAACGAGTTGGAGACTTCACTTGCCACCTTGGGGCTTGATAAAAATTTAATAAGTAAAAAAATGCCGATTATCAGTTTCAAATTGCCATGTGAATTAGTTACCAATTATTGTTGTTATAGTCCACATACGTACCGTATAGTGTACATGTTGTTTTATGATAAAGCATATTATAATTTTATTTTGTGTAAAGCCATACGTGTCTACACTAACAAAGACACACATACACTCATATGAATTGTTGATATGAGCAATTGAGTAGTGAATAGGTCCTGATATTGCTTTGTTACCCCAGTAGCAGGGTTCATGTCTCACGATGTAAGCGATTATCAATGGCTATGTTAATTGGAATCAGCGTAGGCTATTATATTCTGTAGAAGTACAGTGTACATATTATAATTCTGGAGATTATTATTTTATTATCATTTTACATAAGCACAGCGTGTATATGTGATCGTATTATGAAGGTCACGAGTTTGTTATCATAGATTTATGATTAAACACAAGTAAAACATATATGTTATTGCATTAATGAAGGTTATGATTTCATAATAGTTTCTACAACATACACTTTATCATAGAATGGAGCTTATTGTAGTATTATTTCATTTCACAAATTTGCAGTGAATATGTTATTGTAATATAGAGTATTATAATGATTTAATTATGATTATAATATATAATTTTACGAATGTGTATGTGACGTAGAATTTTAAAGCATGTGGGGAGCGGCGGTGCAACAGTTAGGGCGCTGCGCTGCGATTTCGATTTCGATTCCCTCTCACGGCCAACACCCAGTGACGTGATTAGCTGAACCGGTCCGGGGCGTCTCCTAATTCCACTCAGCTTCAAATGATGCAATGTGGAAACATTGCCACTGGGGAGACAAAGGTGGCCGGGCATGGTGCTGGCCACCCAACCCCTCGTGTTTCCATGCCGGCCTTCGTAGGTGCTCTCTAAAAGCACTTGCCCCAACAGTGTGTTAAGGATATCGGGTACATTTTTGTATTTGGAGAATATGGAGCCTATTCAGTAGACCTATTTCATAAGCTACACATCACCACGTTGACACTTTACATGCGCGTGACAGCTTGCGGAGCGCGAGCGAGCCTCGCGCAGTGTTCTCAGGACCCCTTCGATGTAGCAGCACACCTACCTTCATGTGGTACATCATCATCTCATTGGAGAGCTGACTCCGCTGCTGTGCCTCTGCCACCTTCTTGTACAGCAGTGACTGGGGATAGAGAGAGATAGAGAGAGCGGGAGGGATAAAGGGGGGGGGGGGGGGGAAGAGTGAGAGACGGTGGTGAGAACCCAGAAAATTGGGCAACTCCACTAGGGGTTTCGTGTGACGGTCAGGGCAACCTCGTTACAGGCGATCTCGCTTTGCCGCACTGCCAAGATACATTTCGGCCCTGACGCACGGGCTTTGTGAAACCGCCGAAATTCTCAAAATACCCAAAAGTCCGGCGGGCGACACTCAAGCAAGCCTCCCGTGTTTGTGTCAGCCCCAAAGTGCTTTCGGGGAGACATACAATATTATTATTGGTGCAAAAAAAATCCCTGAATATTTATTATTAATTATTGCAGCTGCGTAATACGACCCACTTCCGGAGCACTTGAATGCTGCTTTATTAACCGCCGCACTACACGTGTGTGTGTGTGTGTGTTAGCGCACAGCGGGGGAAAGAAGTCATTTAACAAAAACATTTGGTGGTCTTGCTTCAATCAATCCTTTCTCGTGGCCGGCTCGGCCAAATAAGTGGCAAGAGCTGCCATGTTCACGTCGGTGTATTGAAAATGGGAACATGACCAAATGTGGAATGTGCGTGTCGGCAGTACCGTTGGATTTTTCTGGTGAATTAGTGGCAGATTACGTGCGCGGCATCAATGTGAAATGATTGGTAACGCAATACGGGTTTACACCCACGTTCAGAACGGAAAAGAGCAATTGTTTCTTAATTGGAAATGTTTTCAAATTACAGAAGTACGAATGTAAAAATTGCAACATGGAGTTAATCAACTGAAACACCGCGAGACCGTGTAAAATATCCGATGAAAACCCATAAGCCTGTAATCGTGAGACAAACTCAAGAGTCATTTGCAATGTCAACATATTTCAGAAGCCTGACTTTTTTGTAGCAATTAAAGACATTTCTACATTAAAATATCGAATGGGGGAAAATGTGACTTTCACAGATTGATAATGTCTCATCTGTATTATACAAAAAAAAAATCCGCAGAGTGTAACTGGATATGGGATATCCAGCGATGTTTGTGTTTGCCCGGTGGTTTGTAATGTTCTTATACAAGCAAGTGTGGCCCAGCTTGATTTATTGCCAATACGGCACGAGTAAATAAATATATAACGACGACAAAAAGCACATAATGTGTCAACGCCGTAAATAAAACGTGCACAATTTTTACAATGAACAATCGTGGCGCCGAAACACCCGTCTTCACGAGGGTGTCAATGCATCCACCCGCCTTCACACAAAAAAAACTTCCATACATCATCGCGGTAAAAAAAAATGATCTAAGCCGCTGAAGCGTGCCATCGGCCACTAAGAGGTCCGAGCCGACTGAGGGCCCCATGCGCCCATGACATTTCTAAGCCATCGTCAGGATCCTACGGAGACTCGAAAAATGCTGATGTAATCACACCGGAGGAACGAAAACGGGGGGGGGGGAGGGGGTGTGAAATATGGGACTTTTGTTTGTTTCGGCGTCCGCAAATTTATCCAAAAAAATCACATTAGACTGTAATGTGCAGTGTTAAAAAAACATTGAAATGGTTAGCTCATATTCTTTGTTTCTTTCGGTAAAGTCACGTAGATAGAAAAATTATAATAAGAAAGTGAATTAAAAATAATAATACAAAACAAAAAAACACTAATGTAGACTATAGCCTGGTTCTTAATCGGAGTGAGTGTACTGGCAGTCTAGTGTAGACTATAGCCTGGTTCATATTCTTGGTTCTTTTGGCAAAGTCACGTAGAAGGGAAACAATAAAATAATAAAAATATAAAACAATAAAATTCTCACGACGTTTCGACTGCAACACAAGCAATCATCATCAGGTGTGAAAACCACAGCAATACAATTTGAAAAAAGTGGCGGGTTTTTTTTAACGTTAGCACCACTGAGAGCGATTTGGCAGTTATTCAAATTGACGAAGCTATCCACATATACAAACACAGAGACAATTTCAACCGAGAAGATGGATTCTGGCTTAGCAATCATTGGAAGGATTTGATAAACCATTTCGGGTCTTAATTGATTGTTCACGCTTACAGTGGCTTTTCAGACTGCATCCATTATTTCATATCCCCCCTCCTCTTTTCCGAACATAGATGGACTCGTCCATCTGAACAAACTGTCAAATCGCTCTCCGTGGTGCTAACGTTAAAAAAAAACCGCCACATTTTTCAAAATTTCTTGCTGTGGTTTTCACACCTGATGATGATTGCTTGTGTTGCAGTCGAAACGTCGTGAGAATTTTATTGATAATAAAGGTTTTTGGGTTAGATCGCGTTTATTTATAAATGTGTCGTAACCCTCCACCACCCGACACGGCCAATCAGCAAAAAAAGGTGTCACGTTGACAAAAGACAAATAATTCACTACTTTAGCCCACCGGTGTGTTGAAGAGTGAATCCACATTTACAGTTTGAGTACGACGTTTCGCTGGTAAATACATCCAGCATCTGGCGAATTGCCCGATGATGCTGGATGTATTTACCAGCGAAACGTCGTACTCAAACTGTAAATGTGGATTCACTCTTCAACACACCGGTGGGCTAAAGTAGTGAATTATTTGTCTTTTGTCAACGTGACACCTTTTTTTGCTGATTGGCCATGTCGGGTGTTGGAGGGTTACGACACATTTATAAATAAACGCGATCTAACCCAAAAACCTTTATTATGAATAATATTGGTCGCGAAAGCCTACGTGTTAAACTGAGAATTTTATTGTTTGATATTTTTATTATTTATTGTTCCCTTCTACGTGACTTTACCGAAAGAACCAAGGAATATGAATCCCTGCAGTCACGAAAGCTATAAATCAAAATATAGCCTGGTTTCTTTGAGGGCAGTGGTGTGACACGCAATTTATATCCTTTCATAATATGGAAGTACGTTTACATTTGAGGTTGTGGAGAGACGGCAGAGTTTAATTCAAGTGTGTTCTCATTTTATTATTTAAGTACTATTAATGGTTTATGTTACTAACGAGAAAACGAGGAGGAGCCCTCAAAAACCCCTCTCAGAGGGCATTCGCCTTCCTCATCCACGCTAGCCAGACGTCTCGGAGAGAGGTGGGAGTACCCACACTTTACCCCACAGTGTACGCTAACCAGCTTGACCCAGCTGTGATACACCCATTCACACTGCTTCGTGGGTGGGATTTAAGAAACTTGCCCCCATCATTGAAACTGCAGCGACGTGTGAGGTCAAATCGAACCGGCGACCAGGGCCGTCCGTAGGTGGGTGTCAGGGCCCAGGCCAAATCCCCCCCCCCCCCCCCCCCGACTGCAGGTCCCCCCTGACACCATCAAACTAAACCAGGAGTATTACACCTGCCCCCCCAAAGCGCGGGGCCCCGCGGAAGGTCGCCCCGATTCGCCGTACCCCCGGGGGAAGGCTCTGCCATGCGACCTCTCGATGGTGAGGTCAGTGCGCCGCCAGCCGCGACGACGCGGCAGCGTCCGCCACATTTGTTTACAATCGTCATTTGTTTACGACACCGAAACAGAAGGGCTCGTCGTGCACATTCAGGGGCCGCACGGCTGTAGGAGTCGAACTCAAACCCAACCCAGCGAACAGGCCCCACTGCGCGCCTTGTGATTGTCTCCTAGCCCGGAGGGGTCCGTTCAACCAGTGGGAGTCGATTCAGACATGGGGTTTATAGGGAGAGCCGAGCAGTGGCAGCAGCTGAGAGCGATAAGTCCAAAAAAACCGCCCCCTTTTTAAATGACACTTTCCTTCTAGAATCTATCATCCCGCAACACGGTATGGAGTATGCGCTGTTGCTCCTCCGGGGTAAGCAGTGGCGGGGCACAGCGATTGTTGTAGGAACACAAAATGAGAGACTCTTCCTCTGGCTCTGACCGACTGCCTCTTCAGTTCCAAGTGAAAAAATAAAAGCAAAGTCTATTGTTGAGGCAAAAACGATTCACTCTCCCAGCGATGTGGGGAATTTGTCACAAATTAAGGGTTGCGCTGTTATTCAAAATTTGACTCGTTCTTTTCTCATTGTGGTAAATGTAGCGGCCACTAGTGGCTGCGGTAGGGGTCGTTTTTAACCCCTTACGTGGAACATGCGTGAGTTGAACACAACTCATTCTTTCTCGTGTGATTTGATGCCTGCATCGTGGCACTTAAGAATCGACATCGTGGTGCAGGAGCGGACGCGTAGTGGCGAGTGCATCGTGCTACACACTCGGCGAGTAGAGTTTGATTCCTGGTCACATCTGAACTTCTTAAAGCCTAAAACCGTCACTAAAAAATTTGAAAGCTAAAGTGAATGCCAACATTTTTTTTTAAAGCTTCCAGTGGTCTTCAACAGCACACAACAACAACAACATAAGTATTAGAAACGATCTCAGCTGAGAAGCTGGCGAACGCCTGGGCCTCTCTCAAACCTCCGGGCGATGCGAGTCGCCAACGTCACGCTGGACATGAAACGTGGACAACATTTGGAGCGATGAAACTCGTACCATGAAAATCCTCACACTGCCCCGTGCGTGTGTGTGGTTGTATTCACCGAGATCGAACTTCGGTCCGTGACACCTTTCAGACAGCCAATTGGCGGGGTCGTGTGTTGTGCAGTGGGGTAGAGTTGTGGGTACGCCCACCGCTTTCCAAGATGCCTGGCCAGCGTGAGAGGGCATGATGTGAACATACCCTGTGTTCGAGGGGCTCTCGAGAGCAGCTCTCTCGAGCGAAGGCTCCCTCTGCCAAACACAGTGACATGGAGCAGGAAATTGCAGGGGCCACAACTGCGATTTACTTTTTTGCTTCGCGGATCAAGTCCTGCGCACGTATCGCAGAGGGTAGCTGACGGAAGGAAACGTGCATCTCGGTGGCTTCTTTGCACACTCACGTTGGCGATACTGATGCCGCAGTAGATGGAGAAAGCCGTGGCCAGGTCCTCGTCAAACTTGGAGAACCACGGCCCGTTGATCTTGTTGCAGAGCTCCGCAACCCCGATCACTTCTGGTGGCATGGCAAGCGACAACGAGGAGGGAGGCATGGGAAACAGGGAGGGTGGGAAGAGAGTGAGACTGGAGTGCAGCATGGAGTGGTTAATGGGGGGGGGGGGGGGGTGGGTGGAGTTAACGGATGCAATTGAAGAGGGGGCCCAGGCATTAAGCTATTCGCCACTTTTTATTTTACCAGGAAAGGCCCACAGCTAAATAGCACTTTTCAGAAGTCACCTGATGCAATGAAGTGGCTCATCATGTGGATATTTATAACAGCCAAATACTCTAAACGCACATTGATTCTAAATGTGGAGGGAAAAAACGGAGGACCCAGAGAAAAATCCACACCACCACAGGGAGCACATGCAAACTCCAAATATACAGGCATCAGGGTCGGGATCGAACCCATGCCCTCCTACATACCAGATGAGGTAGTTAACATTTCACCACCGAGATGTAGAGATGACAGGGATAAACTCAGCTCACACATGCTTGTACCCTGACTTTCGTGCAATTCTTCCTGCCCCATAGCACAGGATGGGACATTAAAAAAAAAACCCGCACAATCTTCGGATTACTGGAGCAGGTGCATTGGTGGAAGCACTTGGTAGAGTGCAGTGCTTCTCTGCTTTCATCCTCGACCGATCCCTCCAACTGAGAGCCAGATCAGCGGTGAGCTTCATGTCATGCCGAGGATTGCAAAGCTTGGGAGATGCAGCTTTCGTTTTCGCGATGGGAGCTTGTGAGGTACGTGGGAAGCAAGTCTGGTATTGAACGGAGACCACTTGCAAGTGTGCAGGAACTTACGAGACAGCCGTAGGAAGCACATCATGATGCAAGTACTCACTTAAGGTAGTTACATACCAGAACATATGGTGGTGGCATGAGGCAAACTAAGCACAAGCACAGGGCCCCAACTACCTCAAGGGGGGGGCTTGGATTGAAGATTTGAAAAAAAACGGGAGAACCAAAATTTTTTATGCAATTTTATAAAGCTCATAATTACATTACCACGTGTAAAATAATTAGAATGTCTGTATCCCATTAACTAATAATTCAACTTTGATGTAATTAAGTTACGCAGTTTGTCTCATGTAGAATGTTTATGGTTACTTAACACGTACAAAAAATTATGAGTGCTTAGCTCCCCCAATGGGTTAGCACCGCCAATGGGTTTGTAGGGTAACTGTGCATATAGCTAATATGGTGTCAAATGTGAAAGCATAACAACGGAAATGCAAATTGCGGAGATGGAAACGTTTAGAAATGGCAGAGAGACATAAAGAAGAACCCATTGATTCATGAGCAATTTCTAATTTATTTCAGAGACATTGTCTGTTTAACACTTAGGCTTTCGCGACCAATATCATTCATAACAGGGTTTTTTGGGTTAGATCGCATAAATATATAAATGTGTCGTTAAACCTGCCACCACCCGACAGCCAATTAGTCGGGTTTGTCACGTAAACAGAACGTGCCAATTCGTTGCTGGTACAGCACACAGGTTTGGCCGTCGCCTGATGAAGCTTCTTGTAATTACTGGCGAAACGTCGTACTCGGATTGTAAATGTTGTGGCTTGGCTCTCCAATACAACGGTGTTGCTGTACTCGTGACGAATTGGCACGTTCTGTTAACGTATTGTCTGTTAAGAGGAGTGGACAGTGGCAGGAGACACGGTTAAAAGGGATGATGACCGATTGAATGAGAAAAGTGACGGAATGGCAAAGGAGAAAACACGCCAAAAACAGGATGCCTCCGTGTCGTCCTCACGGAGCGATGGCATTAGCTCGTGAGCACGAGCAAACTGATCGTTGTGTCGCGCATCCTCAATTAGGCGGTGACGACGCAACGCAACCCCTTCGCCTAGTAGCAGATTAACAACGGGCCGTTGATGACACTAACGCTGCTGCTGCTGCTGACAAATAATGGAGGGCTGAAAACACAGGGGCAGATATTACAACAGAAGACTCCCGCGCCGTGCGACGGGGCAGCGGGAAACATGAATCCGTGGATGTGGAACGTCCGCCGGCAGGCAGCGGGAGCGGAATGCCTGACGCGGTGCCCAGTGTGGTGCCACGGCCTCGAAGCAACTCTGAAAGCGCTGAGACCCCCCCCCCCACCCTGGCACCCACATCTGAGCAACACACACACACACACGCAGCGCACACACGTAGTGTCCTGATGGGGGATCACCTGGCACAACGGTTTTAATCTGAAGCGTCCCTAGGAGGAAAATCCCACGGGTTTCCCGATGCCAGGAGATTTGGCCGACCCTCGCAGGCAGGTGCGGTGTCCCTGAGTTGGCTTTATATTGTATTGGCGCAAAAAGGTTTACGGGGCCAGCCGCAATGAGTCATTCACGACATGAGGAGGGGCTGGGGTGGAATATTAAGTGAGAAGGGCAGACCATGAGATCACGGGATCGCAGCTCCACGACCTCCCCCGACCCCAATACCGAATACACACTCGCAGGATGTGTATTCGCCAGTCGGGCGTCATTCCAGATTAACAAGGGTGAGTAATAAATGAAGGTAGTACGGACAGACAGACAATGGGTCACAGAAGCATCCGCCGCAACGGCTCCATGTAAGCAAAAAAACAACGGGCTGTAATCACAGGTAGGCGTATGATTGGCCGCGTGGGACAACACGACCCCGGGCTGTTGAAGTCAGGGGGATAAAAGGGGAGCCTGAGGCCGTTCAAGAAGGACTCTGCCTTCTCGAGCCACTCGCAGCATCCGTGTGATGCCAGCGAGTGCTGCTACGAGACGGCGATAGGCAAGGTTTTTTCGTCAACCTCCCTCCGACTCTCACAGCGTCCGTGCGACGCCGTGCGTACAGCTTCGAGGTACGATGGTAGGGCTTTTGAGTGACTGGGGACTTAGGCAGCAGTAGGCTCGGCCCTTCTCGCAAAATATTCCCCCGGGTAGTGCGTAGTTGCGCCGAGAATAAAAGCCAGCATTAGAGCATAGGCGTGGTGTCTGTGATTTCTGTGTGGAGCGACTGCGTGGGGGAACGCGCAGCGAGAGTGAACACGTAGCGGCAGCGTGTGCGCGCGTTAAGAGCCAATCGCCCGCAGGCGCGAGCGCGTTCGTGCCGCCCCGTGTTAGCGATAGCTGCGGTGTGCACGGGCGTGTGGTACAACTCCGTGTGGCTCCAAGGCCAGCAGCACGAGGACGTCCCTCAGAGAGGGCGCTAGCGCGGGGGGGGGGGCCCGTCGCTCGGTCGGCGGGGGTCCAGCGGGAGCCAAGCCCACGCGGAGGAGGAGGGAGCGGAACGGGCGGATGTCGAGCCCCACCTGCCTAGCGAGGGCGGTGGTGGTGGACGTCAGACCTCACCATCAGCTGTTGTCTCCTGGCGCTGCGCAGATTCACAGGCAAGCGAACCCACCATGGCGACAAAGAAAGGAACCGAAAAAACCCATCGAGATGCCGCACCGGCACGCGGCCCTCGATTTCGTACCTCCGGACTAGCACGGTTGGCGATGTGCGATGTGAAACAAGTTCAACGTGCACACGTGCACGCACGCAAACGGGGTACGACGCACGAGAGGCTGCGGAACGAGCGGCTTACTTGACGTCTCGCTTGAATCCGGCGGCGATCGCTCGCGCCCCGACGCAAAAACGTAAAGGGCGGAAGATGCGCTCGTTAATCGCTCCGAGTTCACGCATTCGGGTAAAAATACGTCCAATTAAGAGGCGCTTCCGTTGAGAAGAGGACAGTTCATCAGCGTTTCGCCTTAAGACGAGGGGAACGCCGGGTTTCTAGGCATCGTACATCCCCCAGCACAGTGGCAGCTCTAAGCCGGGGTTAACGCTGCGTCGGTGGACGGCCTGCACCGCCTGATTTACAAAACCTGCCTGGCAATTGCGCACGACCGTTTCCGCGAGAACGCAATGAAGCCGAAGGAACCCCTGCGTTAACCATTCGATGTGTTTAATGGCCATGAAAGAATTTCACACAGCGGGGGGAGTAGGGGGAAGGGGAGGAGAATTTCGTTCGAACAATCCCAGCGGGCCCGTTCCGTGGTGCGGCGAGGGCCGTCATCCAACAACGTACCGACAAAGAGGGCTGTGCACGTGCACAGCAAATCACTACCACAACTCCAGTGAGATGATTGTTTCACGATTCAGGGCCACAGTCATAGCCGGTGCTTGGGGGGAAGGTGGGGAGAGGGGGGCCGCGTGCTGAGCTGGGCCCCACATCACCAAATGTCCCTTTGGCACCACCCAATTTGGAGTGTTGTCACATCGCGAGACCGCGAGAGATGGCCGCGGCCTGTCAAAGGCTTCCATTCAGCAGTGGATGGAACATGGCCGATGATGATGGTGACGATTCACGATCAATCTAGCTACGGTCAAACGGGGGCGTCAGGGTAGTGACATTATCGTATCCAGCCATCACGTGAACTCTGTCCTCTCACACCCGCTCCTATTGCTCTTCCTCCACCGCCATAACTCTAAAGCACGACAATAAAAGCTCGTAGCCTCCGACTGTACAATTTCGCACAGAGAAACCGAATAAAGTCTCGCAGCGGTGGCGAGACATCCATCATGTTGTCACAGCAGCACAGAGTGCAGCGCAACCCAAACGAACGAGCGTGCATCACCACCGATTAATCTCGGCCACCTTGCGGGGGCCGGCCTGGGTGATGTCTGCCTTGAAGCGCGGACATTAATATTAATGGCCTTTACAAGAGAACAGCTGGCACGAAAGGTGGGCAGAATTTACAATAATGCTTATTCGCAATGAGGCCCAGCAACTGACAGGAATGGTTACGAGGTTGTTTTGGGCTAAATTGGAGGAGAGCTCGTGCTGTAATTGTGCATCATCATCAGCATCATCGTCGTCGAAGAGCCTGTTTACTCCAATACCATCCATGCACTCGCCTACCACTCTGCCTCTCATATCACTCTACTCAACTCCCCTCCATACACTATCCTACTTGTCTCCTCTCATTGCACACTCGCCTCATATACTCTCCTACCTATCTCCTCTCATCCACCTCTAACT